TATTACATTGAATTAGACTTGAATCTATGTTTACTGAATTTTGTCCAAATTCCTATAATTTAACTACTAACAATCCAACAGAAAATAGGTTTAGTCATAATCTATATCAGTAATTGATATTTAACGTTAATTTTTCAGTAATTTTGCAAAATCTACCTAAAGATAGTATTCTATCTATCGTTTTATGATTTTAATTACATGAAACTGTTAACTGATTGAGATTTTGCAGTAAGTACGAAAAAATGGACAGATATCCAAAATTAGGCGACTTTCCTGTATAATATAAGAAATACTTATGCGTAATTTCAATATTAAATAAATTAGAAGCGTTACAGGCTAATGGTCAGGATACCGAGGATACAGAGTGAGAAATAAAGTGGTATCAGGAAGAATAGGTGAACAGGGGACTCTATGGAAGTCAATAAGAAATAGCCGAGATAAGTTCTCAGGCATGAAGGGCTAGTCAGAGACATATTAGATGTAGAAACAGGAGTTAAGAGGAGTAGAGGTAGACCCAGATTAGACTACTATTCGCAAATAGTTAAGGATATGGGATGTTCTACTTTTATAGAAATGCGAAGATTAGATCAGGATAGGAAAGGGTAGAGGTGCGTGTCCAATCAGTCTTAGGACTGACGACCTTATGACGTTGACGATTAAATCAATATAATTTAGGCCATTTGCCAAGAATTTCCCACAAATAGTAGGGAATAGGGATTAGGGGTGGTTATTTTTAAAGAGACATTGTAACACTTCAACTTTTTATTAGTTTATATTCAAAATTGATTTCAAAAGTTATTTTTCTATATTATCTCACGTTTATAATAAGTAAAATTGTTATTAAACTACAGTAGAATTTCTGAAAGGTTGATGGTATCTAATGAAAAATGATAATAACCTAACTTAACCGAATCTAAACCTACCTAGTTTTACCTAACCTAAATAGATAGAGAAAACACTGCAATTAATGAGAATTTCACAAAAATTTATTTAACTGACTACAATCGGTATTGTTTCACTATATTCAGGTGAAGATTATTAAAATTGTAACACTTAATTTTATTAAAAAAAAAACTAGTTGATTGAGGCTGTACATTATCGACGATTTATCAAGGTTCTAAAATTGAAATTTATGAGAAAGAAGTAAGCTCTTTCATTCAATTAATTTAACATAATAATGACTAATAGTTTGGTGGAGAGGATGTAGATAATTTATTTGTGTTTTGGGCTCCCCTTAGAAGATAAGAAAGGGGGAGTGGATCGCTGCTCAACCGTTATAGCCAAAGATTCTGAAGGTAAAACACCACTCACACACTTTCACTGCAACTTAATGTAACATCAGCGCAGTTATAATGAAATTTTTACATTAAAAGACATTATGAAATACTTACGTAAATTGTAAATTGAAAATAAAATTTTAATTACTTAAAATAATTATCTTTTATTGTTATCAAAAAGTGTAATATTTATTGTAGCTTTCTTTTCAAATATTTATTTTTCTTTTGTTTTACCTTTTTGTGTAAGTACCTAGATAAAATTTTGTAGAAAAATAACAGTAGATTGTGTTAATTTTTTGTCAATCACCTACAGTAACGAGGTAGACACTGTTAGTGTAAATTTCACAACTAACTGCGCTATTGTTATAACAAAAATACTAATATTTATTATTATTACTATTATTATACTAACACATTTTACTAATATTACACTTTCTGCATATATTTTGCGCCTCTAAAGCAACACGATTCGTTCGTTAACATGTTTCATTGCTGTGTTTTGAAAAAATAATAAGAAAAAAAATTTGAAGCCATGGCATGTTTCGATTTTATGTATACAATGTACCTGTCTATACTTGTTTTATATTTCACTTTTCGCTTTAAAAAAAAACATGAGACGACATTGTAAGGTTGAATTTGTTAACCGAATAAAAACAAAAAGGTAAACTATTAATAAATTGTAATAATTGCATGACTTATGAAAAGTTCAACGTTACTTGTTCCTTTAAACAGCTTAATGTTGCTTCTGCAGTTGTACAACATGGTATTTGAAATAATTTTGTGACATATTTGAATCATTTGAATAAAATAATGTAGCATCGTGCTACAGATGGCGTTTACTGCGCCATTTGTAGTATTTTCAAAAACATTTGAATAAGTTTTGAATTAACTTATTTTACCGATTTCCTATTGAAACAATTTATAATTCATAACATTCATTCATAAGTAGTCAGGCTGAATTTTCATTTACGGATAAAATAACAATAAATATACAAATCCACAGCAAAAACATTTTTATTGATAACAACGGTAAAAGAGGCTTCTAAGGAAGTTAATACTTTTTTAAAAAGCAATATTCAAAAGACTCATATTATTAGTAATAAATTTTCACGGTAAATATCAGGTAGCAGGTGATTCAAGTTTTCAAGGCAATTTCCTGTAATGATACCAGCCATAGTTGTCGACGAAATGTAAGGAACTAATAGTGCCGTGAAAAGTTCAATTCATATATTTCATATGTTTAATCATTTTAAAATATAATTTCTTTGCTTTTCAAACAAATTCCAGTGTTGGCGAAACGTTAATAAAACTTCCCTATCACGGATTTTTCGAAAACTTCTTTCTTGGAAATAGCTTGAAATCGTGTTTTAAATACTTTTTTTGTTTTAATTGTTAAAGATACAGTTCAGAAAATTTTCATAAAACTATGGCAACAAAAATTCTATTTGGAGTGTGAGGACAAACCCCCAAATGGGGAACTTACCCACCGCAATCTAACCTAACCTAAAGAAGTCCTTGATGTTCTAATGTTAGTTTTAAATCCTCGGGAGACTATATAAAATATCCACCATTATAAATAACATAAAGAAGAAAGGATGTCACAAAACTAATTACTATTTCAAATACCTTTTTGTATTTTAAAAAGGAGAATCCTGAGCCTACAATATACATATACGCACTATATTTGTAAGTGTTGCTTTAAAAATATATACATATTTCAGCATAATGTACGTATATTTTGCATTATCTTTGTGTTATTACAGAAATTGTAATAAGTATTTCACAACTTAAGACAGTTATGTCATTTAAATGAACAATGTTTTGCGTTTATGACTAGAAATAGGAGCAAAAGGAGCAAAATAGGTAACGCAGGAGGCGTTGCGCGATGAGTAGGTAACGCAGGAGGCGCTGCGCAATGAGCGACTGCGCATCTATTTCGTCAAACGCAAAGTACTGCATGCTCACTTTCTCACTGCGCAACGACTTACCGAGCACAATTCGGTAACGCTCTTATATGGGCTCGTCCTTTACCTAACATGTCCCTGACTGCAATTTCTGTGTACCTACCATGGACTACAGAATAATACACGGATGGAATATAAAGTGTGATAATAGAGAATAGAAATGAAAAGGCTCAACAAGATCGGTGGTGCTCATAGGTAAAGTTTATAGGTCTATCCTATACGCCTCTGCTATGGTTAGTTACGATAAATTCATATGCAAAAATTTAGAAATTTACTTTTTTATAATATTATTCTAGCACTTTTCGTATTTATTGATAGTTTTCGATTTATGATGCTCGTAAAGAAGTTTCTTACTAAAACTAATTCATAGGGAAGTATTTTTTTTGTAAATAATAAAAGGTAACTGCTATATATTATTATTGTTGTAGTACCTATTGTTCAATATATATATATATTGCAATTTCCATTAAATTGATACGAATTATGTAAAAGAGAAATGTTTTAATTAATTTTTTAATTAACAACGTCTGTTGTTATTGATTTAATTATAAAAGACGATTTTCTTGACAGCTCTTGGAATCTTTTCCTCTACATTTTTTTCTTCAACTTTCTTCTGCATTACAGGACACAACTGCAGACAGTACCATCTTTAACAATAGATATAATTAATATTGTAGGTACAATCCGTCCAAAAAACAAGCAAAAAGGACAATTTATCATTTCCAAGCACAACTATCACGTAACATTGTGTTACCGAATGACGTAGGTACTACGCATGCTCAGTATGAGTAACCAATAGAATCTAGGCACAAGATGTCGTTTTTCCTTGACAGCCTAATACGCTCTAGTTTATAGTCCGTTTAAAAGTTTAAATTAGGTTTGCCGATTGTGACATAACTGTCAGAATTTGTGAAAAATGTGACAAATACGTACATTATTAATTCCTCTAAATGTATTTTACTTTCCCTAACACTTTTATGCATGGCAATTGTTGTGCGCTTTCTCTCTTTTGGTGCTTCTAGATGGACGACTGTTGCATGACGTCGACCATTCCGATGAATGGAGTGACACTGCTTCTTTTAAATATAAAAGTCTTCGAAAAGGCAAATCAGGTTCGTTTCGAGTATGCTAAAAAATTCATAGGTGACATTGAAACTCTTAGTTTTATTACCTATTAATTAGGTACCTCGGTATCTAGACGATCATAATATGTAGCTCCTAATTAAGCTGTAGCTATCAGTAGACCCTGACTATATCTACCTGTATCTACGAAATAGTGTTTGGGGTTTTGAGTTATTTTATTTGTTCTACTACAACCGCCAAAGTTCAGTCTGAAGATGGTTAAATAGAACGAAACGTTACAAAAAGCATAAGCTGTTTAGTTATTTGACCGCCACCCTGGAAAAAACTATATAACTTATATATAATTTAAAATTAACGGTCAGGAATCTAACTGAAATTTCGATATTTCTTCCGAGCGTGAGAGCGACATCCTTTTCTAACCGAATGCGATTCTTGTTCATCATCTACACAGCTAGTGAAAAATTCAGAGGTCACCTGTTGATGGTTCAGCTGTAATTAATCTTATCCTAAACTCTTCTACGTACAAAAATTTTCTCTTAATGTGTGCTTTTTGTGTTTTCTAGTGAAAAATACCTTTTCTGATAAGTTTTATTTAATAACCATGTAGATTTAATGGTTTAGATTTAACTCATATTTAGATATGTAAAATAAACATTTTTTTATCTTCTGAAATATAACTTATGATTCGTTCATCCCTTATGACAAATTTTAAAAAAGTTCAATTGCTTTAATGGTGCCTTTATGATTAATTGGAATCCAGTCTTTATTCATAATGCATTTATTTACGTGGTTTACGATTTACTGTAGCATTTCAACTCTTTGAAACAATCGTCCTACGAATTAAAATTAAAAAAAAAAA